GAGTTCCAAGTGGAATACAGCGTTTCAGGTTCGGGTTGTGAAGTTTCAATAGTGGTCGTGTTGCCAACCTCACGTCCAAACTTCCCTATATTTTACGCTTACTACGGTTAGGCGAAGTTTGAGAGTACATTGGCCTGGAATCGAACCCAAACCTTATGCCTGGTTAGTGAACATTCTACCACTGGCGCCCTCAAAACTGAAGACTACTGGACAGTTGCCCTTCATCCTTTTTTAGGATTCTTCATCAGTACGCACCTATAATCACACCCTAGATAGAACCCAGGACCTTCAAGCTACAATGTGAGCCAGCTGGAAACTCAGCGATGGGGATGAACTCGTTGAAGTAGGCGTATATTAAAGATTTTCTAAGATTGAGATTATGAAATTCCAACTTCACCTAAGTTTTCTATTTCCTACTGTCTTTAATAGAACTTCGAAATAACATATTTGAAAATCAATATTAAAACCCATTTTTGTGCAGTAAATCAGTTTTAGACAGTTTACATAAATACAGGTAAACAGACTAATAAAAAGACACTTTTCAAAAAAAAGTACTTTATGGACGAAATCTGGGGTTGTTATAAAGCATGATAACAAAATGAGACAATAAAAGACAATAAAAATACCAGTACACATTGAAAATAAGCTGATTTTTCAATGCTGAATGATTAACGGATATCTCATTTGAGTATTATAATCATTATTATTCCCTTAGGTTCCGAATGAAACGTATTTACTAAGGAAGATTTAGTGGAAAACATATCAAGGATCTAGTACCTAGTAAGCGAAATGCGTTGATTGAAAGAAGAAATCTTATCTAACTGACAGAATAATGAGACGTTTAACAGGTGACCGTAAAAAATGAATAAGTCATGAGTAAATAACGCCACCATATGCACCCTTAGCATATTCATTAACAGATAGAAGTGAATTAAAATTGAAATGCTTGTTGCGTTCATCAAAATCTCCAGCGCTAAGCCAAACCTTACGGTTAAACATGAAAACTAAAGGTTTATAAATATAGAAATATTTCTCTAGCTTAATAATAGTAATAGTAACAGTAGACTATAATAAACTTTTTTACTACAAATCTTCTAAACAGTTCGATTACCAATCAAATGACTTCAGTTTTCCTCTCTCTCTTCTATCTGTTTTTATTTAAGGATAGCTGTTACCTAATTCTGAACAGAGTTTTCATGTCAGTGTAATTGAATTACCTTGGTAGCATTCATAGTCCAGAAAAATTCAAGCATTTTATTAATAAATACCTTCAATACTACGGAGTGCCGGAAATCTTTATCAACCTCATCTAAATGCTATGATGTGATGATAATGCCACATGTCAAGTGATACACAATAGAAAACTCACCGAAGCCTTTGGAGTGAAGATGGGAGTAAGACGAGGCTGCTTACTATCACCGATGGTATTCCTGATTGTAGTGGACTAGATTGTGCGGTACACTGTGCGTGTGTGTGGGGGGGGTGAGAAGACGGGAATACGTTGAACCAATGAGAAGACTCTAGAAGATCTGGATTCTGCAGATGATTTATGTCTAATGTTATATAAACTCGAACACCCAAAAGCTGATAGAAGAAGAAGACGGTGAAGACAGGACTCCAAGTGAACATAGGGAAGAAGGTGATGAAGATAATCAACCGACAACAGCAACAAGCACCCATCATTATCAAGGGGAGAAATTTGGATGAACTCATTTCTTTGATTTATCTAGCCAGCATAGTTTCAACTAAAGGCGTCACCGATGACGTCAGAACTAGAATCGGAAATCAAGACAGATAATTATCATTTAATTAGAATTAATTAATTATTTTAAAAAATTAAATTAACATGACTCGTTGCACAAGAGGTGGCTCTCGTGGCCCAAGTGGTCTAGTGGATAACGCTTTGGGGTTTGAAACTACGGGCTCTGGGTTCGAGCCTCTGTGGGAACAGCATCACTCACTGCGTAATGCAGGTACATCCAGCTGACGGGTCCCAAATAGGATGAAATGCTCATCCTAGATTCCACTGCTAGTCACCATCCACCAATTAAATTCTAATTAAATATCCAGACATCATCAAAGCATCTACACAAGAAGCCGACATGTCAACCTGAGACCGAGCATTTCGGTCCAATCAATCGACGCGAAAATCTAAAAAATTTCAACTAGAGATATTCATCATGCTGAAATCAGTTTGGACGTCGATTTCGCTGGCCATAAAGATCGAAATTCCGATTTTCAGCACAAATGTTGAATCAAGTCTTCTGTATGGATCAGAAACTGGTGGTGCACATCATAAAAACATTTCTAACTGGCTTCAGAAATTTACCAGCAGCTACCTTCGCTGGCTCCATGCAGAAGATCCGATGACCAGAAAGAATAAGCAATAAGAAACTCTGGGAACGAACCAATCAAGAACCAACAGGCCAAAAATATACTAAGGAAAATGAAGATGGATCGGACATACACCAAGCAGACCGTGAGTGACATCACACACCAGGCCGTCGAGTGGCATCCGATTAAGAAACGATATTTTTAACGTGAGTCCGAGTTTGTTGTGGAGGGGTTAAGAGTTTATGGTCAGTTGTGAGGCTAGCTAGAGGGGGAAAAATGGCGATTTACTTTCGAAGCCCTATGTCCCACTCAGAACCCAAAAGAATAATAGCAATAATGATATACTACAGACAAATATGGAATTCGTTTTGGAAATAATCTTTCATATTACTCAAGAGAATATTGACAGTGTGCGTCGGTGATTCAGTGGTAGAATGACAGCTAACCATGCACGTAATCTGGGTTCGACTCCCGCCTAAGCACTACTGTACCTTGCTTAGCTGATAGTATGCCTGATAAAGATGGAAGGTTGAACAAGGAGCTGGCAAACTCACTCCATAAAAACAATCCCACCATTATTGAAATTTCCAAACTCAAACCTGAAGCAGTATGCTCCACTCGGTATGCAACAGAGACTGACGATATTTACTTTCAATGGTTATTTTTAACTATGAGACATTAAAGATTACTTTTAAATGCGGTAGCAAAGGCTTAGCAAAAAAATGTACTTCACACGGGGAAGAGTATTCGAGTATCATCTTTCATTACGTAAAATAAAAAAACGAAGATTATCTGCTAATTCTGTTTCCATTACAGATATCCTATTCGCTTTATTTCAAACCGTTCTGATGTAGATAATTAATATTTCTAATGTTTCAAAACACTGTACATAATTTGTTACGTATTATCTGAAATTTAATCATCATATGTATATTTTAAACAATGGAAATCAATAGATTTCATCTAAGTCAACATTTTTGTAAAGAATTCACTTTTTAAGTCTAGACTAAGCTGCATGTCTAATGATTAAACTAATAGTTTAAACGCTTCACTCAAAGCAGGATACAACTTTTCCACTCCAAGTAAATATAAAATTGGTTGGAGGATTTCATCATGAGCTCACATCAGTTAGAGAGTCATTGGAAAACCTGCAGGGAAGAAATGGAGAGCTGTTTCGTTTAAGTGTATGGGACTCTTCATCAGTACGCACCCACACCACGGTGTTCAAACCCGGGACTTTCTGGTTACAAGGCCAGCGAGCTCGTAGACTGACCATTAAGCCCCTAGCGCATGATGCCTAACTCCTGCCAATTGACTACATAGTGCGACCACTTCTCAATGTCTTCTTTGATGAGTTATCGCCTCACCTTCAACCTGTTGCACCCTACTGGTAACGATTTCGCACTAGAAACCCAGGTTAACTACCTGAATACGGCCAGTCGCTAATGGGCATCAGATTAATTTTCAAGCATTGGTTTTGTAGGGATTTTGTTTGATTGGTTGGAGGGTTTCATAATGAGCTGACATCAGTTAGATAAGAAGACATTGCGAAGTGGTCGTGCTATGTCGGGAATTGGCAGACGTTAGAATTCATAGGCCATTAGATCGAGTCCCAGTGGCTTAATGGTCAGTCTACGAGCTCGTTGGCCTTGTAACCAGAAAGTCCCGGGTTTGAACACCGTGGTGTGGGTGCGTACTGATGAAGAGTCCCATACACTTAAACGAAACAGCTCTCCATTTCTCCCCTGAAGGTTTTCCAATGACTCTCTAACTGATGTGAGCACATGATGAAATCCTCCAACCAATCAAATAAAATCCCTACAAAACCAATGCTTGAAAATGTGAAATTCTCGGGAATATTATATTGTTATAGGTGGGCTCACTGAAAATTACATCAAACGAATGAGTTTTATATGATGAGTTAAGTTTTATTCCAATTACGTTTACATTTTGGGTTTTGCAGACAGTTACATAAACTTAATTCCAAAATATGAAGGAATGTTTCGCATTCTGTTATCATTACTATTATTCTTTATTCACTTATTACATCCCGAGTAGAACATTGGGCTCCAGTGGCACACCTTCATTGCACCTGGTTCTCTTCTGTCACAGTCAACGGACTCAACGACTGCCGGCAAACTTTCAGTTCCCAAACTCATGATTTTCTCTGTGTCATCATTGGGTATAGAGAAGATGCATAGGTTAGGTCCAGTACAGAAAAGGTATTGCTTCACATGGACTCACCAACTAGTGAAAGCTAAATATTCAACTACCTAAGGGTCATTTTTGATTCATAGAAACATCTGCTTGCTTGTAGGGCACACAAAATATTGCCGACTAGAGCTTATTTTATTAATCACCCTATTTACTATGACTAAAACCAACATTTATGGAGGAGGCAGCATCATCGTGCAATGTTTTCAGGTAAATTAGTAACTGCACAGTAACCAGTTTCTTCCTACTCCTCTGATCTTTAAACTTAATGAACTAACCCAGCTCCATTCGTCGCTTTATTAAATAATATTACTCAGTTAAACTTGAGGCTTCAAATCATATGTATAATATAAGCTCAATAGCTGTTTACTGATTCGTGTGCATTCAACACTATTTGATTCTCAGTGTGAAATGCATAAAAGATTTTGTATTTTTGCGTCTCTTTTTCATAGAATATTTGCTGAACAAATACAGTGAACTGCCTGGAGAAATCATGACTTTTGAATTACCTTTGAGCAATCTACCTGTTGAAGCTGGGCATAATAAGAAGATGAGTCTGGGTCTCAAACTTGCTGGTAGCAGAGATCTTAATCAGATGAGTGTGTTTGTTTGTGGGATACAACCTGGCAGTATTATTGACCGTGATGGACATATAGAAGTTGGAGATCAACTACTAGAGGTAAGTGTTGATAAACTCACTTCAAATGATTGAAAAGATGTGCTATCTGACTATCCAAAGCTAAAACATAACTATAGATAATAAAGAGCAGCTGTCATTTCCCTCATCGAATAGCACTTGATTACAACTCTTATAGGAAGTGTTACTATTTAATGTTGACATTACCAGCTAGCTGTCTGAATAACATCGCTAATTTAATGTTTAACCAGAAGCCCTAGCTATCTTTATTATTATCAATAGCTAAACTATAAAATGTAATGAAGCATATTATTATGCATGTGTTATTCGTTATATTATTTATTTATTATTCACTATGACCTAGAATGGTGTGATTTTGTTGGTTTTTTTTATTTTTTATTATTATTATTTTTGGTATTTTCCTATTAACTATCAATATTTTAATATTTTATACATTTATATAATTATAAACAGAGCTAAACCATTGCAATATGTAAAAGAAACGCTGAAAATTCCATGCTGTAAATTTTTATTGTTGTGGAATAAAGTGATTATTATTATTATTATTATTATTATTGCTCCCTTGGGTTCCTAGTGGAACATAGGGCTTCAACTGCACGTCTCCATTTTCTTCTGTCTTCTGCTGTACTTTTCGCCTGCATCCATGTTAGTCCATATTCTTTCAACTCCTCTTCACACGATCTCCTCCATGTCACCCTTGGACGTCCCACACGCCGCTTCCCTTTCGGGTTCCACTCGAGGGCTTGACGCGCGATGTCACCCAGCGGTCTCCTCAGCGAGTGTCCGATCCATCTCCACTTTCTCCTGCATATTTGTTGGGCGATTGGTTCTTGCTTTGTTTGTTCCCATAATTCCTTGTTGGTGATTCTTTCCGGCCATCTGATCTTCAGTATAGAGCGAAGACAGTTGTTAATAAAGGTCTGCAAGCCTGTTGGAAATATTCTTTGTGACCCGCCCGCAAGTTTCTGATCCGTATAGAAGAACTGACTGACTTAACGTTTGTATTGAAAATCCGAATTTTGTTGGTGATGCTGAGTGACGAAGATTTCCAGATTGATTTCAGGTTGATGAATGTGTTTCTCGCCTTCCCGATTCTCGATTTGACATCCTCGTCCGCTCCTCCTGTAGTTGAGACAATGCTCCCTAGATAAGTGAATGAAGTAACCTCTTTCAAATCCCTCCCGTTGATGGTGATTGACGTTGGATGTTGCTGCTGTTGTTGTTGGTTGGTTATTTTCATAACCTCCGTCTTGTCTATGTTCACCTGGAGTCCTGTCTTCGCCGGCTGCTTCTTCGACCAGTTTGTCGGTTTTCGCTTGTAAGTCTTCGATTGTGTGTGACATCAAACATAAATCATCCACGGCGAAATCCAGGTCTTCTAGGTTCTTCACGTCGGTCCAGGATATTCCTGTCTTCTCGTTTCCCACTGTCTGACGCATAATCCAGTCCACCACAATTAGGAATATCATTGGTGATAGTAAGCACCCTTGTCTGACTCCTGTGTTTACTCCAAACGCCTCGCTGAGTTTTCCGTTGTGGATCACTTGACATGTGCCGTTGTCGTACAGCTGTTGAATAAGGTTGATGAATATTTGGGGTACGCCATAGTACTCGAGTAATTTCCAAATTACTTCACGATCAACGCTGTCGAAGGCCTTCTCAAAGTCTATAAAGTTGAGGTAGAGGTTTGATTGCCATTCCATGCTTTGTTCGATGATGATGCGTAGAGTTGCAATTTGGTCAGTACATGATTTGCCTTTCCTGAATCCAGCTTGTTCTGGTCGGAGTTCTGTCTCCAGTGCGTCCTTTAATCTCTCCAGGATGATGCGACTCAGGATTTTACTTGGCGTCGATAGGAGCATGATTCCTCGCCAGTTCTTGCAGAGTGAGGCGTAAGTCGCCCTTCTTTGGTAGTTTCACGAGGTAACCTTTCCTCCAGTCAGTAGGCACCTTTCCCTCCTTCCAGACCTTTTGCAATAATGGAGTCAGCATGTCTGCTGTCGTCTCTGGGTCTGCTTTCAGTGCTTCAGGGGGTATTCCATCTGGTCCGGCTGCTTTTCCAGCTTTCAGAAGCTTGATTGCATTCAAGACTTCAGCTCTCGTTGGAGGATTGGTGTCAACTTGCAGTTGTGTGCGCGCTGTTGTTGGTATTTCTGGACGGGTTGCAGGTGATGGTCGGTTCAAGAGTCCTTTGAAGTGATCCGCCCATTGTTTAATCTGTTTTTCTTCCTTGGTAATTGGGTTCCCTTGGCTGTCTTTTATAGGTTTCGCTTGTGTTGATCTCTTCCCGGATAGAGATTTGGTTATCTGATATAGTGTCCTCAGGTCCCTTTTGCCTGCTGCCTTCTCAGCTTCAGTAGCTAGATTGTCGTAGAATCGTCTTTTGTCCTTCCTAGCACTCTTCTTCACTTCTTTGTCCAGTGCTTTGTAAGTTGAGCTCATCGTCTCCTTCTCCTGTCCGTCCTTGCATTGAATCATTTTCTCTTTCACCATTCTCCTCTCTTCTATTAATTTCCAAGTGTCCGTTGAGAGCCATTCCTTGTCTTGTCTCTTCTTTCTTCCTAGAACCGTTGAACACGTTTCGTTGAGAATCGCCTTCAGAGACTTCCAATGTTCTTCCACGCATGATTCTTCAGTGATGTCGCGTAGTGTTTCCTGCTTTGCTCTGACAGTTGCAGTGAAAGTGTCTTTTGTGGTTGTGTCCTTCAGTTTCTGAGTGTTGAACTTGCATTGTGGCCTATCCCCAGCTATCCTCGAGGCTTTTAGTTTCACCTTGAAAGTCCCTTGTACTAGATAGTGGTCTGAACCCACATCTGCTCCTCTCCTTGACCTTGTGTCCAGTAGGCTCCGTCTCCACTTTCTTGAAATTGAGATGAAGTCTATTTGGTTCTTGGTGTTTCCATCTGGTGAAATCCATGTCGTCTTGTGTATATCCTTGTGTTTGAACACACTACCACCAATCACCAAATCATTGAAGGCGCAGAAGTCTGAGAAGAGTTCACCATTGTCGTTCATTTCACCGAGGGCCTCACGACCCATGGTGAGTTCTCTTCCTGTGTTGTCTCGTCCCAGCTTCGCATTCATGTCGCCCATCAGGATTTTGATATCGCCATTTGGGACGTTGTCCATTATTGCTTGTAGTTGTCTGTAGAACGCCTCCTTCTTCTCTTGTTCTGAGACGTTTGTAGGCGCATAGCATTGAATGACTGTAACTTTCCTTCCTTTTGAGTTGAACCTGGCTGTCATTATCCTGGAGGAGATTGGTTCCCACTGCATGAGAGCTTTGGTTGCTGTTGGTGACATCATGATGGCCACTCCCTCGGTGTGCTCATGGTTGTCCTCTAGGTGGCCGGAATAGATTACTGTCTCTCCAGTAGGTAGTTGGCACCTTCCAGTTCCGTTCCATCTGCTTTCGCAGATTCCCAACACTTCTATTCTGTACCTTCTCATTTCAGCGGCTATCTGGGCAGCCTTTCCAGTTTCGTACATTGTGCGAACATTCCAGGTACCCATCCTTACTTTTGCTTTCATCGAAAGAAGGCACATCGGCTGACTGGCTTCCCGAAGGGCTTTCACCAGCCTGCGTCATTTCACTTCCCCGATTCCAGCGAAAAGTAAGGCTATTGCTTATGTTTTTAGAATTTTTAATATATTTATTCGTTGAAGTTTCTGTAGCGATTTGGTTGTTTTACAGGGGTGGAGTTGCTAGCACCACGCCCCAACCCTCCCTCTTTACCCGGGCTTGGGACCGGCGAGAAAACTAGTAAGCTAGTAGCCTAGCAAGCTAGTATCTGGCGAGGTTTAGCTATCTTTAGCCATAGTTTAATCCCTTTCAACTGAAAAAAACTACAAAGACTATCCACAAAAACCGGGATATTAGTATACTTGAGTATAATGTGATATAGCAATCAAATCATAAGTTTGAGACAGTTAAGATTATCAAATTCTTCCGTTTGTGGCTACATACTAAAATCTCTACATCGTAAAATCAATATTTACACCAAAAAAAAAACATGTTGCGATAGGGAAAAAGCTAAAATGCAAAGCTTACCCTTCACATGGGTGAACATGTGTTTAAAATATCTTTGAAGAAAACTTACGAAATGCCTTCTTTCATCGCCTTGTATTTATATATATATATATATATATATATGTAGTATCATTATTCAAGGCTTATGCCCCACTCGATAATGTTTACCATGTTTCAGCGCTTGATACACTTGAATGAAGTACTCTGTTTTCATGAACAGTTGTTTACTGTGTATCTTATATATATATATATATATATATAAACACAGCGGAGAATAGGCAATCAAGCATCCTTTTCTCTGATGAAATTAAACCAGTTACACGGAGAAAAGCTATTTTTCATTCCAGAAAAATCTTGCCTTTGTTGTTGTTGTTGTTGTTGTTGTTGTGGTGGTGGTGGTTTCATCTGCAGACCGGTTTAAACTCTACTTTCTATTTTCACTGACTTTTCAATTCTACGGAATCATAAATTTTCGCTAACAAATTAGTCATACTCTGTGAGTAAAATTGAAGCCATATAAAAATGTATTGGTTAAATAACTTTTTGTTGATGGAATAAACCACACCAACTAGCGTTGATAACTTTTCACAAAACACTTTATATGACATAAATTTAACTGAACGCTTAAAAACGTGTAAAATTACTTTCGTGACAAACTTTAACTATGAATGATTATTGACTGGTTAGAAGCATTATTACTATAGGAATACCGTTAGGAAAATTAAAAAAACAACAAAAACGAAACTATAAATTAAAAACTAACAACTAAAACAATTTAATGGGTTATCCAGAATCTCAGAACAAACTGAATTCATTGTCAGAATGGATATTGTTTACAATATGAATGTTTGCAAATGTTAAATTTTAGTTGGTCTACTATGCCTTTTAAGGAATACATTTATATCTCATCTTACGTCTATACGTATACAGTTTGAGGTTCCCTAGATAACCGAACGAAGCGAACGGGTACAATGTGATATGCCACTTAGTGTGATTTCCGAAGATTTGTTCTATGGAATTGTTTGTCACAAGTACATAAGGCTACCTAAATGGATGTGACAATGTATATGTATAACCACATTGAGTCATTTAAAGGAAAGAGAGATATTACTCTCAGCGGTATCATTCCCAAGCTGTGCAATCGCATATATATATAATTATCTTAGCAAGAAAAGGAATATTTCCAAAGATGTGTAAATTAATCAACTCTTTTGTCTCGTTATTATGCTTCTTGATTAATATGAACCCTCCGTTTGGCGTGTTATTTACAAACTAGTGACAGTTGTCAAGATGTGATGATATGATAGTTGCAGGTTCTCTTTAGATGTTGATGCCAGATCATATATTTGATTTATCAGGTGTTCGAATTGAACGTGAGGTTGAAGCTTCTAAGTGTTTAGTGATTTTGCTCAGTTTTGAACCAAGAGATAATGTCTCCAATTGAATTGCTGACAATTCAATGTCTGTAAGATTAAATACATGTCTTCCGGTGTTGCCTGGGGATGAATGTTCACTATAACTAGTAGAGAATTTGGAAGACATCCTCAATTTCTTTCAACAGTTGCCACCTTGCAATCCAGTTCACACCACAGAAGGAGTTCGACTCAAAAATATCTTTTCTGGACGTGTTCAGTTAACAAGATGTGAATAAGATGGGACGCTAAAAGGATCCATCTATAGAAAGCCGACATGGAACGAACTAATTTCCACAGTTGGGTGCCTCTTTTCACAGAATCAAACATGGTCCGTTCATTGAGCAACAAAATCCGTAGCGTTTGCAGCTGTGACACTACGGAAAAGGGGCCGAACACTCAAAAGAATTCTTCTCGAAAATGGCCACCCCAAAGGTTTCATCATAAAATCTGTGAAGCCTAAATCATAAAAACTGCCCACTTTTTCCGCTTGTTAGAGACTTATCTATCTGAATCTACAGTTTAATGGAGACCCATTGGCAGAAATACCACGTAATCCGCTCATTGAAGTGGACCTTCGTCCCAGATGAACTAAGACCAGCTTTCACTACGAAATCAATAATTCGCACGAGCATGAAGGTTAAGCTACCAATGCTGGCCTCATTAGTGTGTATTTATCAGTTCACGTGCTCCTGTGGATATAGGTATGGTGATCGTACTCCGTCATCGAACACTTACACTCATGGTTTTATAAAAGAGAAAACATCTGCCCACTGCTCTATCCTGGATCACGTGATTGATTCTGGACACCAAGCCAACCCATGGACCAACTTCAGAGTCATCTACAGAACGTGTGGGAATCATGCTAGAGGAGTACGAATCAACCCTGTTCGGACTGCAGAAGTGATGACGATTCTCATATTAAATCTCGAACTCTGTTCAGTCACTAAATCTACGATCGATCTAAGAATGGTATCGCTGTAAAGAGTAACTCTTCACTGAACGTCTTTCCGTACGCGATGATTGAGAAGATGGGAATACGTTGAACGATAAGAAGACTATAGAAGATCTGAACCAGGTGGATGATTCATGTCGAACGTCACATAAGTACGAAGACTTACAGGTGGAGAAAAAAAACCTGGCAGAAGAAGCAGCAAAGATAAGACTTCAGGTAAACAAAGAGAAGACGGAGGTGATGAGGATAACCGAACAACAACCACCAGTTTGAAGGAAGTCACCTCCTTCACTTAACTAGGCGTCATTGTTTCAAATACAGGCGAAATAAATCACAATGTCAAAACCAGAATTGGAAAGAGAAGGCAGACATTCATCACTCTGAAATCAGTAGGAAAACCTTCTGCATTCAGATTAAAGAACAAAACTCGGATTTTCAACACCAGTCTTAAGTAGGTTCTTCTATATGCTTCAGATACTTTGCGTTCGCATCTCAAGAAACGTTTCTATTGAAGTACTGCAGACTTTTATCAACAGCTGCCTTCTCTGGCCCCACACTGAAGATCAAATAGTCAAAAAGAATTAGAAACAAAGAACTCTAGGAAGGAATAAACCAAGATCCTACTCCTCAACAAACATGAAAGAGAAAATTAAGGTGAATCAGACACTCACTGAAGAAACAGTCGGGTGCAGTGGCGCACCGGGTCCTCAAGTGGAACCCTATGGGTAACGACTAGTTGGGCAATCGTGACAAGAGGGGATGAAAGCTTATGGATGACCGCGGGGTCCGGATGAAGAGTTTTTCAGGGAACAGAACAAAATGGAAACATGCCGCTGAAACCCTATGTCCTACTCAGAACCCCAGGGCGATAATATATGTATACGTATAACCCCAAACTTCACATGATTGTGAGGTTAAATCTTTATTTTTAAAGCGCATATTAATTGAACCAACAGCATGTGGCTTTCATGCTTTCATTTACCTTTTGCACACACGAAGTGAGTTCAATAATGAAATTCATTTTATTCTACAAGAATTTTATATAAAAAAATCTAACTAGGAGTTAACCAATCAAATAATAAATAATTAAATGGCAATGTAAGAAGATGTCAATTCATGTGTAAAGAAATGGTGTGTCGGTGGCACAGTGGTTAGGACTCTCGCCGACCATGCACATGGTCCGGGGTTCGAGCCCACGCCGGCGCACACCTGATATCTATGGTCGGCCTGCAAATATGGGCTACCGATATCCATGCTGAAAATTCCATACTTGTACCAAAAATACAGTGTGGAATCAAGCTGTAAATCAAAAATCAAAATCAAATCTACAAATCTTCAAAACCAATCATAATAATTCTGTTGTTTTTATTTGTTTATCTTAGGTCAATAATCAGATGTTATATGGTCTTAGCCACTTAAATGCTGCACCACTGATTAGATCAATTTACATGGAAGCGATTGGAAGAAGCAACAATATCTTTCGACGGTCTAAAATTAATGGTTTAAGATTTGTGGTTCAGCGTCATCCAGCTAACATAAGCCTTATGGCATCGATTGTCGTCAATCACCACAATGATGTAAGTGACTGAAGTTTGAAGATGTTCTAATCCATTAAGCCAGTATCCTTTTTAAAATAATACTTAACATACGTAGCGTGTATTACAAACTGTCTGTTTTCGCAACAGCACCTCTGTCAAAATATCGGAGTGGCTTCAGAGTAGGACAAACTAATTCAACCCCTGTTCGAACTTACAAGTTAAGTGTTGGAAGCTTGGTAACTAACATTTTGGAAAAGTGTCGGAAAGTTGGGCTTATTCATCTGTTGAACAAGAATATTTCTCTATCCAACAGGTGAATCGAATACCGATTTCCCTTCGACTGAGCTAAAAGTATTCACATGGGTGCATATATACGCTTGTCTAAAAACTAGAGCCTAGTATTTCCATTTCCCTGATTTAAGAGTTTTAATGCATCCTAAGCCACATCAGTTAAACTCATTCCATATTCATTACCGAGATAACATTATTTCTATCAGAGTATATCAGAAAGTCACAATTAGCAAACAACTATTGCAACTACTAATAAATGCCTTATTACAATTTTTATCATTCACTACTTTCTTGGTAAAATTATTAACGACAGAGACAGAGAAATAGAGAAAAGACTAATAACACAAAGTAGTTTTTTACTAACTGACTGTTGTAATAAATCCATCCGTAGACCTAAAAAAAAATGAACGAATGAATGATAATTACCAAGAGAGCAAAGTACTGAAAAAATTGGAAAGCTTTGTTGTAAGCAAAAGAAAATAGGCAAAGAATAATATAGTGAAGGACTCATTTAGATATAATGTTGAACATACAGAATAAATGATTAGATGTTTAAGAAAAAATAACAAATAGCTAAGTCGAAAATTGATATCTGAACATTATTCGATGTAATTAGAAGAGAAAAACTGAACAAATATAAATATATACATATATATTGTTGTGTTTAGCGTTTTATAATGTAGCTATCTTAAGCAATAACACGAAAATTATCTTCGGTTTATTCCTTCGGATGTATTATATAAACTATGATTAGGAGGGAATTCAGATTCGTGGCATTCTCGCTTCAGAAAATATTGATCAGCCTAGTTACGTAGTTTGTCTTAATCTAAGAGGATTTTCATGTTGTCTAACGAAGAGAAATGTTTAGGTCTTATGCACGCAATATATATACATATATATATATATATATATATATATATATGTATAGTCATCTCTCTTAAATTTTGAGTTGTTTTCTCTATCTTCGATGAAATGAATCAAAGAAATCAGATTCCGTTCTATTAATCTGTGTTTTAAAGTTTGGAGTTGTGATAAAGCTGAATTCACTTTTAATTTACTTACTTGCTATATATTTATCTGTAGTAACTGCGCCTCAATTATGGAGTGAGCCTTCTGTTACAATTTATTACCTAAAATTATGTCATAATTTTATAGCCATCATTCAGTACACCTTTGTCAATAAGATTTGAGCTATTTTGTTTGTCTGAGCAGTCGAGATTGTGTGATATTGTTTTTATTCCTTCACGTTCCCAGTGGAATATGGGGCTTGAAGCTAGAGTTTTGAAATTTCAGTTGTAGTGATGTTTATGTTTACGGGGTGAGGTATCTAGCCTCACTCTCGATATACCCACTTCACAGAACCTACTACCGGCTTAGCAAGGTGTACGGGTGCTTCGGCCGAGGATCGAACCCCGGACCACGTGCGTGGTTGTCGGGAGCTCTATCGCTGAACCACAGACGTACACCCATTGACTGGGTATTGGTTTTCCTGAGAGTCTGACGAACCTATCTCTGCCTCTTGCGAGACAAGACCAGCATGCGGTATCATCCTGTGGCGCATCCATTTGAGAGCTCTCTCCATCGGTGGACCATTCGCGATATTGTAACTGAACTTAATTATAGTTAACATCTCATCGTTATAGAAGGCTGATATATTTTTTTAACATTTCAGATTCTTCAGAGGCTGTCTCATATAGTTTAAAATTTACAAATTCCTCATAACTAACTAATTCATTGACAAATCAGTTGAATCAGTGAACCTTTTGTAAAGTTATCATTATTTTAAAGTCATGTATTTACTCACTTTTTCATTTAATTTTGCTTTCAACCTAAACAGCATTCATCTGGTCGATCTAGTAGACATAACAGTGTAGAGACAACAGTGAGTACACTACCTTCACCAGTAAGGAATGTAAATAAAGCTAAGGAATCGATAGAACTGATGAATATTGCATTCGGTGGATCTCATGGACCTTTAGTTCAACAAACACATTCCACTACCTTGTACCGGGTAAGTTGATATTTTTGTAATAAATAGAGAAAAGAAAGCAAAAAACTAATGAATTAAAAGTATCATTACTTTCATTGACTTTTATTTTTCTATAATTCATTTCTATAATACTAAAAGCATTTTTTTTGTTTTCAACAGGGTTCTAAAGGTTATGGTTTCGCTATAATGGAAGGAAGTTCAACAAATGAAGACGGGATATATATTAAACAGATAATTGAAGGTGGCCCTGCAGAGAAGGTAGGTCACATAGGAAACTTCCTCTCTTTCTTATCTACACTTTTATGAGATTAATTTACCATTTGTTTTTAATAAAATAAAAATGAGAGAAAGTTATTATTATGAACTATTTGTGAATCAGTCAGCCAGTGGTAGAGACAGACCAACATATGCTGACTGAGCTCAAATACTTCTTTGGTTTCACGGACTGTAATTTCTACTCAACAAAATGCTTACTACCACATAAATTACAGTTTTCTTTTACAGACAACCTAAAATATACTGTAAAAGGTGATTAAAAAGGTTTAATATTATCAAGTCTTGTCTAAAAGCAAAACCTTTTAAACATACTACACTGATGATTAGATCAAATATTGTAGAAGATTATTACTTTAATAACACTGATCAATCAGTTGAGAAGCAAAAATTGTTTTGCTTTAATAGATTGTGATGTCAAAATTATATCTTTAACTTTTCAGATATTCAAAGTGAATGCAATTTGATATGTCTTAAAGTATTAGCATACTAACATACTCTTTATTTTATTTCTTTCTCGCATAATATAACACAGAGAAATATGTGGGTGGATAATTTAATAAAATGATAAATAAATTTTTAAGTATTGGTTTTTGTAGGGATTTTGTTTGATTGCATGGAGGATTTAATCACGAGCTGACATCAGTTAGAGAACCACTGGAAAACCTGGGAGTACTGAACAGCTGTTTCGTCCTAGTTTGGGACTCCTCAGCAGTACGCGCCCACCGGGATTCGAACCCAGGACCTCCTGGTTACAAGGCGAGCTCGTAGACCATTGAGCCACTGGGACCCGATCCAATGGTCCTTGAATTCTAACTTCTGCCAGTTCACGACATAGCGCGACCACTTCGCAATGTCTTCTTCAATGAGTTACTGCCTCATCTTCAACCTGCTGTAACCAGAAGGTCCTGGGTTCAAATCCCGGTGGGCGCGTACTGCTGAGGAGTCCCAAACTAGGACGAAACAGCTGTTCAGTACTCCCAGGTTTTCCAGTGGTTCTCTGACTGATGTCAGCTCGTGATTAAATCCTCCATGCAATCAAATAAATTTTTGTATACATTTCACGTTATCTTCTTCTGTTTTGTCTTTGAGAGATGGTCATTTCTGCAGTTATCTGATAGATAGAGTCAATATCAGGTTAGCTTTAACTATTTGCCAATCTACGAGTGGAGAGTCTTAAAATATTGCTAAATAAACCTCAATGGATTTCATGTGTAGTCATTGCATAAACATCTGTTCAGTTTTATCTGTAAACTTACAAAAATGTTGAAACATTTATTTATTGTTTGTAAATCATGTAGTAAGGATTTACTACTACCACTTTGGGTTCTATTCAACACCAATGTCAAGTCGGTCAGTTCTTGTATAAGGGTCAGAAACTTGGACAGAGTATCACAAAAGGCATTTCCAACAGGCTACTGCTGACTTTTATCAACAGCTGCCACCTTTGCTGGGTAGCTCCATACTGAAGATCAACTGGCCGGCCGGCCAGAAAGAACTAGTAACAAGAAACTCTGGCTGGGGACAAAGCAACCAATAGCCGATCGCTCAACAAATATGTAAGAAAAATGGGGGTGGATCGGGCATACATTGAGGAGGCCACCGAATGACATCTCGCGCAACGCAGGCCATTACTCGAATGTAATCCAAATGGGAAGCGACGCGTGGGTCGTCAGTGAGAGGGTGACTGGAGGAGATCGTGTGAGGAAGAGATGAGAGAGTTTTATCAATCGTGGACTCAGCTGAAGAGGACAGCAGAAAACGGAACGAACTGGAAATGTGTTGTTGAAGGCCTATGTTCTACTCGGAACTCAAGGGAATAATCTTAGTAGTGACTGCTAAACAGGCTTGTGATTGATCTTAATATTTTTATATTTTGAGTGGTCTATTTTTGTCTGCATTCTTTTGAAATGTTTAACCTCTGTTAGTACTTACATCTACATGGAGTTTAATTAAAGTTTAATTTCATCGCAAAAATGCAGTGAACATTCATTCAGCTCATCACTTTGTTATGAATATTATTCAGTAAACCTGAACAATAAATTTACCTTTTAAGTTTTGTTAAACAAGATTCGCTAGCGGTATTTTTTACCCGCTACTAAATGGTGAAAAACTCACATTTATGATGATACTTAATGCATCCAAGTGTTGTCAGACTAATTCATAGACTAATATTTTATAGCCTTAGTTTTCACTTTATTATCTAGTCGTATTGTTTTCTTTCTTTTTTTCAGGATGGTGTTTTATGCCCTGGAGATAGACTGATCAAAGTAAATAAGAAAGATGCAACTAATGCATCGTATGACACTGTTTTAGAATGGATAAGAGCGGCAAAAACCGTTGTAAGTTGAGTAAAAATTTCGTGTATTTCCGCGGTAGAATTATTTAAAAATGTACCGTGTTTCAATGTATTTCCATTAATTATAATTCTCGCCTCAATTATAAATCAGCGACCAAAACAAGTTCATTGTACTAAACAGTAATGAAGAGTCAGTTCTAAAAGATTTTTCTCTTTCTTCAGATCCTCACTAATGCGTATCATAATTTGTAATGAACCTAACTGTACAGATATCGAAAGCGTTAGGTCATTGCTATATATATCGCTTTTACAGTTCTTTGCGTTTTCAGCGTAATACAGGCTTTCAAGTTTTAAAATAGCACTTCTGGCCTCGCGCTCAACTTTTCCTCTATTCCTAATCTATTATCAGCTACTACACTAGGAGATATTTAGAAGTACATCAGCTGGAAACGCGATGGGCAGACGTTCTGTCACTGAACCACAGATGCACTCATGCACCCTTAACTTTACCTGTTGACTATCTGACATCTGTCTTCAACCATAACATGACTCTAGTTTGCTGTTTTCTTATTCTTTTTGAACGCTGAACTATCATAGATTGTTGATTGTTTAGATCTGTCAGGGAACTCGGTGTTTGTCAAGTTCATTTAAGATATGTACATTCAGTATTCCATTTGACTGTTTTGACTGCTTTTTGAAATAGTAGTAGCCCATTGTCAAACGTTCATCTTCTTTTCTTCTTTTGACATGCCGCTAGTATTGTTCTGATGGTTGAGGTTATGAAGAGCAATTCAATTGGTTTTATTAGCACATCACCTTCGTTTCGCTTGCAGTCTGCCAAGTTGCATTACAGATGACATCAGTCATTCAAAGGTTTTTGATTTCATGCTTGGTAAAAAGGCTACCTAATTCACATTTAACATGACATAAGCTTCTTTTTTAAATTTCAGTCAGGATACACCATCATCAACAGCTTTAATGATTTACACTCAAAGGAATCTTAGTGGGATTCATTTTTACATCACATTTAATGTGGCTGCCGAAATTGCAGGACCATAAGGATAAAAACTTTTCTGCAGTTAGTTTTTAAGGATTTGATTTGTTTCAATTTCGGTCGCTGACTGATAACAGTTAGAAAAACATTGAAAACCAGGTACAGCTTTATCGGTCTAGTTCGGAACTCATCTCCAGTGCGCACAGATTGGGTTTGGAACCTAAGACCTTTCGGTAACAGGGCAATCTGATAGAGCATTTGCCTGCTGGAACCCGACCAAATGGCCCATGAAATAGAACTTATACCAATTCGTACCAACTGGGTGCGAACTCCAGTAGGTGCGTACTGCCGATGATCCCCAAACTAAGACGAAACAGCTGTCCAGTACTCCCTGGCTTTCGTTGGTCCTCTAACTGATATCAGTCTATGGTCTAACCCGAAGCAAATAGAATCCCTACAAACCAATTCTTGGAAATTAATTTGATGCTCACTAGTGGCTGGCTACGGGACAAAGTTATCTGGAGTTCTAGTGAGAATTCCTGACCAGTGGGGTCCATCCAGTCGGGAGTGCGGATGGAGTTCCAGCCGATGACATTAGTTGGTGGTTGCGCTAAAATCATCAATTGGTAGGAGTTAGAATTCATGGGCTGGCCAGTGAATCAGGTCCCAGTGCCTGAATGGTATACGAGCTTACCTTGAAACCGGAATGCCCTGGGTTCGAACCCTGGTGGTGGTTGCGTACTGCTAATTTGTAGTCTTTTAGTGCGGCCACCAACCAATGTCATCACTGAGTATTTGTCCTTAGTACTGATTAGGTGGAACGCAATGTTCACCCCTTCTCACTAGAGCTCCACGCAACTCTGTCTTGTAGCCAGCACTAGAGAGTATAAGATGAGTTCCGAACTAGGACGAAACGTCTGTCTAGTACTACCTGGTTTTCAATGGTTCTCTGACTGATATTAATCCGGGGTCGAAGTTGAAAAAATGCTTCTATTTGTTTTGTTTTTTTCTCAACAGTGATGAAGGCGTTTTTTTTGACATGATTTCCTGTCAAGCAGTCTTAAGCATTTTAGCCGTTCTAGCTGTAACTGTAGAACTTGTATACTTCAATTCCATGTTAATCGGTTTATTGGATAAATCACACAGTGAAACAGTATCATTTACTAGATGATATTTCAAACAAGATTTATTGTTCCTAATCATATCATCCAACAGACAAATTAGTATGGAATTACTATTCTAACTATGCAGTGTGTATCAATATATTCGTGACATAAAGTTTTTGAATAAAGAATAGTTAACCAATTGGTAAATAAATCTATGTCGAAATATAAATTAGATTTACATTACAATATGACATGTTTGAGGTGTTTAAACCATTCGTCTTTAAGAAAAGTTTGAAACTAAATGAGACATATTTTCAAACTAAGTATTTATCTTTGGTTAAATTATCATTATTATTTTTTCTTTATTATTAAAACATTTTTCTCATCTTATATAATTTTGTAAACACAGCTTCAGCTTCAAGTTACACGATGGTCTTTCAGCACGCAAACCACCACAGAAGGAAAATCATCAAATAAGCGTTTCTCTGAACCTTCTGTATTACAGACAGCAGCAGCTGCTTTATTTGGCAAAGATTTAGACAGTAAGAAATTCCTGTCATCAGTAAGTAATTTCGGAGATTTGATAAATCCAAAAAGACTAAGCATAATACCGTCAAGTGAAAATGGTAAGTAATAGTATAGTTCCACTAAAAACAGTAACAGTATTATGTTTGGTTAAAAGTATATATATATATATATATATATATATATGAGAAGAGTGAAGACGAATGGTGAATGAACAAGTTAGCCTTCTGAAACATCTGCTTAAAGTCATAGTTGGATGATGACTATGTTTTGATCAGGTTTCTAAACAAACTTGCAATAAAATCTTCATTCTCAAGACTAGAACATTTGACAAGTTATATAAGTAGTACTAGATGTTAATCCTTTTCGTACAGATGACTTCATGAAATTTTGTTAATATCTACATCTGGATCAGATTGATACTTCTTAGTACTGATAAAACAAACTAATGGGAAAACACTTTTTAACTACATGTTTTGATAATAACCTGCTTTTTTTCCCGATCACCTCAGTAGTATTACTTGTGTAAATAGTTTTAAGATACTCAGTAAAATTTCATCTGCCTTGATTGCGCACTGGGTAGTTACCAACGTCATGTGTGTAGTCCTCCGTTTGGTGCAAACTGAATTCTATCAGTCCTGCCTGTGATTAGGCCACCATCGCGATACACTCTGAATTTATGTTGGATGGTTGGAGGTAATTGGTAGGAAAGTTTAGACCTAGGTTCCATGTTTGCTGGTCTATCTGTAGTTTTGGAGGAATTCATGTCCCTTTGAAGATTTGAAACCCGGACACTCACTGCTGTTATCAGAGACGTTACTACTGAGCTACTCAGGCTCACAGTCAGTTTGCTTTTCAACATGTGTTGGCTGCAGTAGAAAATTCCTTACAGAAATACTTCACACATCACTTGGACTAAAAGAATTCTGTCTGCATCAGACGGAAAGTCTAGTCAGCCTGCTAGAAAACAATTTTAGCAATTAAAATATCCCCTCTCAGTGTGTGTGACTTATATTCAGTCAGTTTAGCTATGTTATTGAATGAGGTGTATCTTCCACTGCTATTACAGTGCTCATGTGAATCTGTATTTGACAATGAAGGGGACATAGTGATATATTTTACAATCAACACTTCAGCACTAATAAGTTTCATCCCAAAAGACTGTTATGCATACCATAACTCAAACGACAGAATTGGAGATAAGATTCGTGAGGATATCTTTTCACAACATCAAATTTTATGTGTCTTCAAAGTACAAAAATAAATTTAGTCTTTAAGTTATCTAAAACAAAAAGTGAATATCTTTAGAGTTTGTGAGTAAATCACACGTAGTGTACAAAATACGAAATTACCTGTCAAATAAATTTACTACAAGTGATTGTATACTATTAGTCTGATAGAAAACTACTGAAGCGTCACTTATCTTACAAATGACAAAGGATAAGTAACTATGTAGCATATTTAGATCAGACTATATCTTCACACGTTCATACAATCTATCATACATATAGTAATCTGAGCAAAAATCTGAAATCTCCAAGTTGCTTTTGAAATGATTAAAGTACATTGAATAAACACGAGGTTTATTTGTAACTTGCGTGGTACTATCGCCTCGGGAATTGAACCTCTATCACCCACTGCTGCAAACAGATAAATTGTTACTGAGTTACTCAGAGCTAGAATTCAGTACTACAAACTAGACCTATGACATTTGTTGCCACTTAGTTAATAATCAATATATCTGTTAAACCCCTACAAGAGGTCAATCATATATTCGTATGGCTCTTTGGCATCGTCTGTGAATGCATTATTGGGTAGTTAGGGTTGGAATCTGTGAGCAGAGACCAGCAAATACTTTCTGAGGAAGATTACCAATAAGAACGAGTTTCCTATCTATTACCTTCATCCACTGTCACAGTAGAATGTTATAAATAATCCTGTATTCCTGAAACCGAAAACTGAAAACTTTTATTTTACTATTTATTTTCTTTAATAACTAAACCAAGAAAGGTATATTAGAAGAGGATGTTTTATCACGTCTAGAAAGAAACCTTGGGGTCGTTTATAAAAATGCCTAGTTATGCAAAAACGTTTCTATTTGGTTAGACGTTGAAAAATGCACTATTAAGTCCAAAAAAAATATCAAGGTCTTTTCTTCATTTCTCTTTAGGAAAGTTGTATACAAAATCTGCCTATACCTCAAACTTTGGTTTTCATATTCTTTAAATAAATACACGTCGATTTTATCTTGATAATTTAAGTACTAACAACAATGAAATAGAAAAATAAGGTAAACAACCCTATCAAAACATTTGAAAGTTATTCACTCCAAGCATCTTATGTCAGTGTCTGACGTAAGTAAAAAAAAAAGACAACAAATAGGTGAATGTCCTTAATAAACAAGAAGGACAACAACCTTGCTTACCGATACTGTTGTGAAGGCACTGATTCCCCAGTTCAACCTGGACAGTTAGTTAGTTATATGTGCATTCGAACTGTCAACATATCATCATTATTCAAATTAGGCCTTAAACAGGCTGGGCGTTTTGTCATAAAAACTCGAGTTATGAGGTTAAATAGTAGTAGTAGTAGTAGTAAAACATTCAGTCAGATGACATTTTGAAGCCACCTTTACTAAGATAATGAATGTCCTTTCACGTAATTTTAGCTTCTATATGTTTATCATCTCAAAATAATTTGATTTAATTGCTTCCCGACATCTTGAAATGTGTGCACAACCCCGTTTAGTGCTGGATATAAAGTTATGTGGAGTATGATGAAAATATGTGCAACTGCTTTAACAACAACAACAACAGAAATACTCAGAAAATTAAGGTTAGAAAGATAACGTTATTTACTATCATGTTAAGTTTCGTTCCATAAATCAGGAAAAACAGAAAAGCTAAAATGATAGATCGGAGTCCCTTTGAAAACGTGGGGAAGAATTTACAGTTTAAGTATGAACTGCGTCGCAGATTCATTTTTTTTATTGGATAAAACACTTGGCACTAACTGATGTGATTATGAACGGGAAATTGTGTTCAAAATATTATCCAGTAAGTAATACTGTTTCACACTGTGTGATATATCCAGTTAACAAAAAAAATAATATGGAATTATATGCTACTGAGCCGTCCCAGTCCTACTGAATCTTTGTGTTCAATATATTTTATCCTAATCTTCACTAGTCTGTCAACCCCTAGGAGAGAAGGAGACATATAAATTCAGTATAACTCCCAAAGAGTGGAAACAATGTTCGAAAATCTCTATTTTATGTTGAATGCACGTATTATTTCGAAGGACAACTGTATTATATAATCAAATGTTGAGAAATGGTTATGGGAAATGATTCGTTTAATGCGCTGTGACAATGTGTCATTTTGCATTGAACGCCTAAAGTATATTTAAAATACATACAATACATATACACAATTCTGGTTTAGCGATAATAAGAAATACTGTTCATTTGATTATGAAATATTGGCTTTAAAATCGACTGGGTACACCAAACTTTTCAATGTAGATGTATAAATAGATATTATCACTGTATTTTACTGCTGTCTGTGAATCTTAATTTAAAGAAAATACCTCAAGTACAGCTGAAATGCAGTTTGATATCGATTCAGCTGTACTGTTTTCAGACACATCTTTCCTCCAATGAAAGTATATCTTCTGTACCGGTCTGTAATCTTGTCAGTGACAAAAATTATTAATGTTGATGTTTATTCTGACTGCTTCATGTTGAAATTAGTGCGTTTTATCTTTATTAAGAAATCTTGTAGTGTAAGTAACTAAATTTTTTTAAACAGTCACATAACAAATGAAACGACATGATGTTATAAAAGGTTATTCAAATTATCTAAATGTAATGCAGATGATAAACTTATGCTACGGCAGCTAAACTAGACTTTAGAGTTTAATTTAATTCGTTTTAATAAATGTGTTTTTAACTAACTAGCTTGTAGACGATTACACAGTTTAACTTCATTTTTATTCACTTTTTACAAATTGACAGCCACAAACTGGTTATCACCCAGTCAAATCGCATCTAGATTTCGTCGTGCAAGTTCTCCAAGCTTCAGCTATAAACCAGATTACATTCCTCATTCCACTTTGGAACCCATTCTTAACTATTCTACATCATCAATAAATGTCCCATCAGAAAGTGGAAATTTTGAGAAGATCTCTGTTTTGATTAACGATGAACCGGAAATGGCCTCAACAGCTCGTCCAATCAAGTCTGGAGTTGAAACAGAGATTTATATGGCTATTAATGGTTCATGCAGTCTGGGTATAGGTTGCATAGGAGGAAGTGAGACAGCCCTGGTAAGTAAGCTTTCCTGGTACATTTTATCTGCTACGTTAAGATTTCAGGTGTTGTTGTTGTTACACTTATTTAATTTTCTCATCATCAAAACTGAAAACCAGATTGTCAGAATAACAACGTCTCAACTTCATGAGAATTTCAGTGTATTAGAAAAATAAGTTGACCGAGTTTTGTCATTGTTAACTTTAACTTTTTAAAAGGGAATGAGAAGTTTAGTTGCCCTTGTGTTTAACCTCTTCACATTCATCTACATCTATGAAGTTGTAGATATTTTGCAAGGGATGTATAGTTATCCAATGCATGCAAGTTAACAATACTAGGCGCCGGTATATGAGTAGCAGAGATATTTACTTTCATTTCGTCTACTTTGAAGATAAATGAAGCTAGTTGAAAAACTTCAGAATTAGTTTACCGAGAGGAGAAAAAAACATGAAAGCACAAAAGGCGGCTTGACTGTCGTAGAAAATATACATTAGTCTGAAAGTTTTATTCCTTTAAATTTAATAAAGTATAAAGCAAAACACGCACACACACACACGCACACTCATAAATAGCAGCATATTTTTATCCTTGTTTCGGGTATGACTAAAAATACTCATTTGGGAAATGTCAGGAAACGATTTCGTCTAATATGGATTTTCAGCTGATTCAATTCACTACAGACTTACAACTGAGATTTTTATGGGTTTGCATTCTACATTGTTTGGGAGATTACGAGTACCACTTAGTTGGATGTAGTAAAAAGAATAAGACTTTTTAATGTGATATGAAGGAATAACGACTTGATTAAAAAGTATGTTTTAATCAAAGAAATAATCAAAAAAACAAAATAATTAGCTAGTTTATGTATAATATAAAAATAACCTTTAAGGTGAATTGAAACCAATGCATGGAACAGAAAAGTAAACAAAGATAATATGTAGACGCCAGAAGCTGAAAATGAGATTTTTAAAATGAATAGGATGGCTTTAATTTAAGTGTAGGTAGTTTCGCTTGTATGCAGAGGTTGGGAATATCTTATATAAATATTATCCTTGTTGATTCATGTATATGGCAACAGACTGCACAACAAAATGTTGGACTAGTGGAAAAATCACTCAAGTCAAGTGGAAGGGCTTGGCATCCAGATCGAAGTAGTTTCAACGCTGAACTTTATTCGATTCAACCTACAGAGAGAAAGAGAGAGACAGAGAGACAGAAAAAGCCAGATCAGTTCAAATCACCTGAATTCTGTCTCGGATCGGTTTCATAGAGTGATACAAGATTGTGATACAGAATTTCTGTCTGCACACATAGTGAACCATTGGAAGATTCTGTTTGAAACTAGAAACTGTGAGTATTATCTGTAGTACCGAATATATATGACTACTTAACTTGTTCTTATGGAACTAACTACCTAAGTTTGTCAGTCCATTTCTACGTTCTCTTATCAAGTGAATGGTGACCGAATTTCATTCACACAAATTACAGTTTATATGTGAATTTACTGAGCAGAAATATTCTTTTTATCACGATTACTTTTTACTGATGAATAGATCCATACACTTAATGAAATCGAACGTCTTACTGTAAATTCGTAGTAGAAGGCTTACTAGTTATCGGGACAGGCTTCACTAAATAACCACTTTGTGGTTTTGTGTATTTACTTGAGACAGTCAAGTCTCCTTTGAGTTTAAAGTTATTAGGAAGCAAATACTACTAGATGACATAGTTTCATACAGTTTGCACAATAGCGTTTGCCTGGAGTGTTGATGGAAACCGCTTAATTTTGAGATTAGTTTTGTAATGAGTTGACATCAGTAACGATAACCATTTCTTGAGGATAAGGACATACGTGTTGGATGCTAATGATGACAACATTAATTGAAAGCCTTACCCAACGGTTGAATGTTGACGTACTCATATAGCAACCTTATCGCTTTTTACTTGCCTCTTCACATGACTACAGCGTTCACCCTTCACGAATCTCGAGATATAACGAGACAACTATCCATTCAATCCGCTGTGCTTTTCAGCGAATTACTCACCTAATATACCTTAATCATGTAACCAACCTCGATATTGATAAGTGCTCACAAAATCGACAACTTAATATTTTAGCTGCATCACATAAAATGGATGTATTGACAAATTTTTTTAGTGATCGTCTCTTGGCTGGTCTGTTCCTAGCCAGAGTTTCTTGTTACTAGTTCTTTCTGGCCGGCCGGCTATTTGATCTTCAGTATGGAGCTACCCAGCGAAGGTAGCGGCTGTTGCTAAAAGTCAGCAGTAGCCTGTTGGAAATGCCTTTTGTGATACTCTGTCCAAGTTTCTGACCCGTATAGAAGGATTGACCAACTTGACATGAGTGTTGAAAATGCGAATCTTGTCCGTTGTGCGGAGTACAGTGCGGAAGATTTCCAAATTGGTATCAGGTTGATGAAGACGTATTTTGCCTTTCCGATTCTGACTTTGACATCTTCATCCGTTCCAAATGTCTGCAGTTGAAACGATGCCTTCTAGATAAATGAGGGAGGTTACCTGTGTTAAATCTCTCCCGTTTTTGGTGATTATTGCTAATTGTTGTTGTTGTTGTTGCTGCGGTTTGTTGGTTATCTTCATCACCTCTGCCTTCTCTGTGTTCACGTGCAGCCCTGTCTTCGTCTGCTACTTCTTCAGCCAGTTTGTTGGTTTTCGCCTGTAAGTCTTCGAGTTTATGCTACATTAGACATATATCATCTGCGAAATCCAGGTCTCCTAGAGCCTTCTCATCTGTGGTCCAGCGTACTCCTTTCTCCTCGCTCTCCAAAGTCTGACGATAGTAGGCAGCCTAATTTAGAAGAACAACGTTACATAGGTAAACATAGTCACTGAACCTAGACAGCATTTAATCCTTAAGTTAATATCTTAATGTAGAACATCAGTTCACAGCACGAAGCATGACACTAGGAAGACTCTACGCATTCCTTCTATTCCATACTGCTTACCAGCTTGTAAAAGCAAGTAGTTTAAATAAAAAAAGTTTAACTAAACCTATTAGTAGATGGTTAAGTATAACAGTGACTGAATTAATCAATATTCAATAGACAAAATAGACAGACACAAAATAGATTGATTCTAGCAAAGAATTTACCATATAAATATTTCTGGAATGGAATGGAAATGGATTGACAATTGGCTAGATGATAATGTATTCGGATAATATGGTTAGATAAAATCGTTTATTATACCTGCCAAAAATTAAAAGTCAAAAATATGTTAGCTTACTTTAATAGAGAATGTAGCAGTAAAATTGTAGCTTGTTAGGTTAACTAGTAGCGTCTAGTCCAAATAAATGCAGTAATACATCAAATCCACCTACGCACTAGACTCCACTTTCTAAATTACTAGCGAACAGTGAAAAATCCTGGGAAATATGACTGCGGTTCCATGATTTTGCAAAATGAAGTCGGTTAAAGATGAATAAAGACTTCTGCAAACATTTATAGTCTCCATTTGTTGGACTTTGCGGTCCATTCCTGTCTAGGTCATGTTAAGGCAAAGTTAAAGAATCTTAAAGCAAGATGAAGCCAGGGTTTACAACCCTTCAGTGGTGAGAGACAACAGACAGGAAGGCTTCAACCTAGGTTTCATGCTAGTTGACACTCATCGGCAAGGTGTATCCGTCCCCTTGAAGGAACTCATGTCTCTTGTGAAATTCGAAGCCGCGGGTCACCCAGTGTTGCAGTCAGAGACGCTGATACTTAGCTAATAACAACAATTTATGGTTAACCGTAATGGCAAGCCACGTGCACGGTGGCGACAATGCAAACATGGCTGATGAGATTCAGTAGTAGGCATCAAACAAAGGACTAGACGTACGGCACTAGTTAATGCCCTCTAATTGACCATCTGACATAAGTTTTTAGTGGAATCCGCCTTGAGATCTTTCAATTCAACTGGAGAAAAGCGTTTGAAATAAGCGAACAAAATCACTGACAAATAATAAACAAATTAAGAGTTATTTGTGACTTCAAAATAAACCGGAAGCACTGTGATAATTATCACATTAGGTGAAGAAACTTCAAGACTGGGGAAGAATTTTGAGACATGCTAATTTTTAAATGAAAATATAATGGAAAAACACATAGATCTGGACACCATTTACAAAATAAGCAGGTGAAGATTCTCCAAACAAGTTCTTTCTAAATATTGTTTCAAGGAAGTAAGAATTTTCAGTGAAACGAGAAGCTTTTCAAAGCAGTACAACATTTTAAAAGTAGTACAAACAAGAAAAGATGGAGAGAAAAAACACACAATCAGTTAGCGACTGTAAAAAGTTGTTACAGTCGAAACAATGCGTAGCGAATTCACTTCACGGTGACGTGAAACATATAACGACACTGAATTAAATTTACACTTCGAATAACAACAAAACCACTGGAACGATGCAGATAACTTCAATAGCAGATAAGAAATGGTTTAAAATTGTAAAAATATACAATTATTGGTTTTGTAGGGAATTTGTTTGATTGAGTGGAGGATTTCAGAAGGTCCTGGGTTCGAACCCCGACGAGTGCGTATCGATGAAGAGTCCCAAACTAGGATGAAACAGCCGTCCAGTACTCCCAGCTGATTTTCCAGTGGTTCTCTAACTGATGTCAGCTCATGATGGAATCCTCCACTCAGTAAAAATATACGCCAACAGACCGTAAGCAGCTTGTCTTATGAAATGCAAATAGAGATACTATAGAATAATGCATATCAGTGAGAAAACATTCTAATTATTAATCTGGAAAAATGGAATTCATTCAAGAAGGCATTTCCTTCTTTTGTGATGGATAATTAATTGCTTCATGAACTGTTCAAAGTTTAGTTAATCAACCAAAAATATGCAGATTTTGTGAATTTATACTCTCTTGTTTCAGCAGGAATAAAGATCTTTTTTTTTACTTTAGTTTAGTTAAGTCACTGTTTCTAGGACTCTGTTTAAATACCCAGTGCTGGTGAACAAAAGTTGCTTTTTGTCTGTTTGAATAAGTAGAACAGTTTTTAATGAAAACTTTCAGAATTTTTATTCCGAAGTGATTTTCGCTCAGCCCGCCAGAAAAAAAACACGCCTCTAAGTTCAATGTAACTTTTCTTATTCTAACATTTATTTAATCGTTTCATGCATACTAAATAGTTAATCTGCTTATTATAATGTTAGACATATTCGTTGTTTCATAAAAATCATGGTTCTTTGTGTATAGAAATTCAAGCCTTGTTTGTACATAGTTAAAATAAAATTTTCTTGTCAACACTTACTGATATCAGTTCGAGAAACACTACAGTCTAAGTGAAAGTAGATAGCTAATAAAGTCTTTTTCACATTGGACACTAGTAACTAGTGTGATGTGTCTAGTCCTGTCTTTGGTGCAGATTGAATTCTATCAGTCAGGTTTACAATGTGTGGCCACCACTCCAGGTAGCTCGCCGTCTTTTTCAAACAAGATCATGATCACCTGTTACATAATCGAATCCAAAGTCTGATTTAATATTACTTTTAATTCTAAGTAACCTTTTTTGAACACTATCTGTGAATACATCAGACTCTTGAAGAAATTAAGAATAACTTGAACAGTTAGTGGAAATGTACCTTTTAGAAATGTTTAAAACAACTAAAATGTTTTGAAAGTCTGGTGATTTAATGTAGATTAGTCATCTACTAATATTGAATGAAATGACTGTTTGAAAATTTCTAATTTTAACAATCCATGTAAAAGAAACAAGTAATTATATAGTCAGTACATGATGTACAGTAACAGTTGCTCATACACTTATTTTTACCTGACTTTTTCTCAGCGTGTTATATTACTTATAACTTATGTAATATAAGCTTCTTAAACGATACAAACTTAATTGTCCTTTGATAATTTCAAAATTTATTTTACAGAATGTTCCAGTCATACATGAAATCTACCCAAACGGTACAGCAGCTAAAGATGGACGTCTTCGTCCTGGAGACAGGATTATGAGTGTCAACCACATGTCATTACTCGGCCTACCATTTTTAGAAGCTATGCATAAACTTCAAATGGCTTACATCAACAAATTATTCATGATAAAATCAGATTGTAATGAAGACAACGAAAATGTACCTGTACTATCAAACGATCCAATTTATTTCAATCTAACAATATTCCGACCAACAGAACAAAATGAAGATTGGTTCGATCAAGAATTAGTAATTGAACTAAACAAGAAATCAGGAAAAGGTTTAGGAATCTGCATCGCAGACCGATGTGTACATCTCAAAGCAACTGACCTTTCATTGGAAAAAGACAATGAGAAGATTCGAAGCCATTCAGACACAAATGCAACAGAAGTCCAGACGTCGTATGGTGTCATTGTAACTGAAATAGTAAGTAGGCTGTGTATTGTTTAATTTCATGTTTTATTAAGAATGGTTAAACAAGGTGACTTTAACAAACAGAAGTTGACTTTGAACGGAATTCATCTCAAAATGAAATTCTCGGTAGCAAAAGGATTCGGAACAATAATTCCAGGGAAATATGATGACGGCAAAATTAAATGTATCCCTTTCACAACACCATAATATTACACTTTACAGATAACTAAGGATAGTAGAGCTTATGTCTATATAAGTTGTTTCGATTTGCAGTGCAGAGGGTGGGTTCAGTCTTGCTCTGAGTGAATTAACAGAAGACACCGATACGATGTGGTGTGGCAGAGGATTCCAATGGTTTACAATTCCATGCATGAAACGAACTTCCAGACTTGGACGATTCGACCGTGGTTTCTGAACTTTGAGGTGATGTCTTATTAAATAGTCATTTGAGTAGCGGAGACGTAGAGAGCATAAATTATCACCCGAATAATCACTGAAAATTTGGAATGCTAAAATGAGGTCACTCCTCAACTGCTGATATGAAAGTAGGACTAAATAAGATTGATCAACTGTCTCCTTATGTGAAATGTTTGAGAATGCCTTAATCAGTTTTGTCCCGTCCTTTACACCTTTTCTGCTTCATATTTGAAATAAGGGTCAGCTGCCTGGATCCGATATTTCAAATGATGTTTGACATAAGTTGAGTATACTGCACGAAAGATAAGGTTCAAAACTATACGGGCCTTATACACAGGCCATCATATACTAAAGCATTTTCAGACGCGGTATTACAATTAACTGAAGATTTGGGTCATGATATGCAGCCCCTGTTAAGTCTTTATACTTGCAAACCGAAGGTAATTTAAAGCCATTAACTGAGTAATTGTACACGTTGTTATGACTAAAATTCATAACTACTCATTTGCTTGTATTAATTTCCAAGAGCAGTCGTTACACCGTTTAGCCAGTCCATCAAGATCTTTCAAAACAAGTCAATCACTACTGCCTAAAAATTGTCGGCATACATTCGCTCTATTTAAGCAAAGTGCGAGGGAAAGAAGGACTTCAATTACATCTTGACGCTCAATAATTCTTCCCCAGATATTATGATGAGAAGATGCAATCCACCCACCTTCTCTCTTCTATCCATAAAGAAGTATTGAATCTAACTATTGATAGACCTCCAAAATACTAAATTTTACCGGAAGACCTGAATGGAATATTGTATTTAAGGTCTTGCTAGGGTCTAGGAATATAACATTCACCGTTTGTCCAGCATTTGCCCATCCCGAAAAATGTTTAGTCAAGTAAGAATGGTCTGACCTAAGAACTAACAGTTTAAAACCCTCAGTAAACTGAATAACTGTATCACGGTTAATTTTCTCGATTAGTTTAACGAAAATCCTAGTTAGACTAATGGGATGATTATTCTCAACCAGATTTCTAGGTTCGGTTTCAAAGACCGGAATGATGATGGCCTCATTCTAATCTCTTGGAGACTTAGACTCGCTCACTGACATACTGAACAGAATCGACGACAGTCCGTGTATGGTCTAGTCTAGCGCAGATAATATTCGTGCATAGTGTTCATTAGAACCACTAGACTTATCATGATTGAGACCTAATAGAGACTTTAGGATGGCTTACTTCTTAATGTGTAGAGTTCGCAATCCCAGATCCGTTTCCGGAAAATTTAATGCAGGTACACTACTCTTGTCGGAGAACACCTGGTTGAAATAACTTGACGTAACCTCGGTTTTTCTTAAGTTGGTGAACATCCACTAGGACAGTGAGAATAGCGTCACTTCTCCAAGTTCTCTTCACATACCCAAAACCTTCAGAGACAGCCCTGTAAGTTCACAGCTAGTTGTATTGGCTATTCGGTCCATAGTTGAAGCACTTTTCCTAATAGCCGCAATATCTGAGGCCAATCCAAAATAACTTACAAGGCTAAATGTTAGACAACAACTAGAGAGAAATGAATAACTAGACTATTAACTTCACATTTTTAATGCGTCATAATTATTTCAGCCAGGGTAAAGTGTTGTGTAGGATCAAAGCGTGGGTCATCTTAGACATGCAGGATCAAGGCATCATCTATGAAAGCCAGAAGTAATCTTTTTCTAAGCATATTAATGGATCACGGAGAAGAAAGATCTGCCCAGTTACATGGGATGCATTCAAGTCACCTAAAGTAGCACAGTTGTTAAATCTATTCCATTGTTTAATCTACTCTAGTAGGAAGTCATCACACTGACCATTCGGACCATGGTATAGCCCATGAGCGGCTATTTCATACGATCCACTGTCATGAGCCGTAGATTCTCTGAGAGGGATATTGAATAATTTATTAAAGTAAAGAACTATTCCACCTGCCTTGATACCACTTACTCTGTCAGTACACTGACAGTTAAATCCTCCCAGCCCAGAGGTCTCATTCAAACCACAGACAAGTGTTTCGATAATAGTCACAATGGCTGAACTCAACTCACTCACTAATACACCTAAATCATGGAATTTATTACCGATTCTGATTATATTGGTATAAATTATCTCATGGTTTTTTTGTAAGGTCTGGTTTACGCACACAGATGTCTTGAATGTACTCGATTTCAAGATCTAACTATTTAGAAACCTACAAGTTTCAGACTAGTCTCCTCGTCTCTGTGGCTAATTTGCAGCTCAGCCAGCACTTCTCTCCTCCTAAATCTATCCTCTCAAAACCAATCTGACTTTGCTGGACTTGTGTATAAGATTTTAACGAAACACCGAATTCTAACTGATTAATACAAAGTCCAATTACTGTAATAATTTACGCTGGAATGAACAAAACAAAACAAAAAAAACGAAGTTTCGTAAAGAACGCGAAAAACTTCACTTCCTTTTCAAAAACAACACGTACAACAATGAAATATATTAATTCTATTCCATTTGTTAAGCGGTCTAAAAATGTTCACATTTGGTCAGTGAAAGATGGCATGATAGTCTGCTTCAAGTAAACATGATAATGAATACAAAACACACATATGTTCGAATAATATACATCCATGTGCCACCGACGCACTAAAAAAATGTGTATAGAATTATTCTATGACCTATGTTTACTTTAAAAGCCTTGGATTTCTTAACTTGTTACTTTATTACGCAATGTGTATGATCTGGAATTAAAACTGATCGAATTATATTATTATGATACATTATGCAAACAAAACATATTATCTTTTATTTTTTCTTTAGTATCATTTATCTGATTCTATTAATGTAAAAGTCATGTTTCTCTTTCTGCTTAAGACTAATGCATCTGTTACAGTTGTTGCCTTTTTTGTTTAATGACGATTGTACATACATAAATGGAGAATACTAAAAGTTTTATTTGTGTTGCTGGTAATCAGAAGAATTTTACTATGCATTTATAGGTCAAGACAACAAAGTTTTTCTGATCACTTTATTATACACTAGATAAAAAGTTCTTTGGCAGCAACGGATGGTCGCCTTATGCCAAATGATCAAATCCTCGAGGTGAATGGAAGAAACACAAGAGGCCTTAGCAGTGAAATAGTCGGTGCTTTGTTGAAGGTAGGCTTTTCTTATATATATATAACATCATCTAATATGATACCTGTCTTAATGCAACATAATTCTTTCATTATACACTACTTAAAATGACAATACGCGAAAATATGCATTTTACCACATAGCCTATGAAGTTACTACCATGTGCATACATCATTGCATAGAATTAAATTTTCATGATGAAAAACATTTTTAAAAAAATCTGTAAACAATATTACTTCTGCACTCTACTGGTCACGGCTTCCCACTAGAACTCCAGGCCACTGCCAGAATAGGGCCAATCCTAGTGAACATCAGATAAATTTTCAAGTATTGATTTTTGTAGGGATTCAGTTTCATTGGTTGGAGGATTTCATCATCAGTTCACATCAGTTAGAGAACTATTGGAAAACCTGGGAATACTGGACAGCTGTTTTGTCCTGGTTCGGGACTCTTCAACAGCACTCACTCACACCACGGGGTTCAAACCCAGGACCCTCTGGTTACAAGACCGACCATTAAGCCACTGGGACGCGAACAAATGCCCAGCCCATGAATCCTAACTTCTGCATATTCATGACATATCGCGATCACTTCGCAATATCCTCTTCGACGACTTACTGCCTCACGTTCAACCTGCTGCACCCTACTTCTCAATGAAAACATATTTCTCTGTACACTTGTTTTAAGAAAAACAAACGTTATGCGTAGTCCATCATTTCGAATAGCATACCGATCATTTAAACTGTTAGCTAGTGGTGTTTTGTTGTACATGCATATTTTCCACCTTAGATAACATGAATTTATCAGCAAAATAGTTTTACAGTGTACGATGTACAGAAAAAAATTCAGTTAAAAAACCTTCTGACAACCAACCCATCAGTAACGAAGTAACCAACAACACTAAGCAGCTATTAAAGTGCATATCTACTAACCTTAAATACCAAACGTTTTCATTTTCAAAACAATTAACATGGCAGATAAACAAGTGATCAAAGTAAGTCTTTTACAAAAAACCAAAGTTTTATTTACTAAACAAGTAATTTACTTTTATTTCAGGCTGCTCCTTGCAAAGTCATCCTCAAAGTGGGTAGGTTAAGAAATCAGATCGCTATACCCAATTCTGCAACGTTTCTTTTCAATGATCCATGTCAAATGAAGAGATGAATCATATCAGGAAAGTTAGTGCCTACACTGCATACTTATTATTAATGGTTGTACATGTTACACAACTGGTCTAACATATTTGGGCTTGATAAAATGTGCGGTTTTAACAAACAGCAGCTATAAGTTACTTAACTAATCTGTATGAAAACTTGACAGTTTTTCTCAAGATATTCACACTATCATAATTTTAAATTAAAAAAATCAAAAAGAACACTATTTCTCTTAAAGTTACTTGCCTTAGTATTGGAATATGTGGAGGATAAGGCGAAAATCCACTCTATGATTGATTGATGAAACCTCCTCAAATAAGACGATGTATACTATATGTGACATCCAAGCAATATTAATTTTTTCAATTTCCAATTTTGATTATAACTTGATGCCACACCGTATTTTCGGTACAAGTATGGAATTTTCAGCCTACGATATCGGTAGCCCAAATTTTGCAGGCCGACCATAGATATCGGGTGTGCGTCGGCAGGGGATGGAACCCCGGACCATGTGCATGGTCGGCGAGAGTCCTAACCACTGGGCCACCTCAGAAATTAATAAATTTACTTCCTACTGTTCTGATCACTCTATTTATTTTATATCACCACACCAAGCTTTTAAGAGAAAGTATGGTATACCCAGCAAACACAAAGTCACCGTTGGCAGGAGTATCCTAGTGTCATTTACAGAGCACTGAACAAAAGAGTACAGAAGAATGCTAGGAATGGCAAAAGATAATCTTGCGACACATTGGGAAGTGAAGCATAACAGACCATAAGTAAGAAAGACCTCACTACACTCTGTTAAGCAACAAGGCCTTTGTCCTGGGAGCAATCAATTCAGATGAAACCAGCGAAAGGCAGTGAGGGAAAAACAATCACCAAAGAGGCAGTAGAGAGGAAACGTGCATTTAAACACATCAAACGAATACTGGATCGACCACCACCGGCGTCCCATCTATAAGTACTGCTACCACAGAAGCCAACAGACACACACTTACCAAAGAACGCGAGCCCCCTCTAATAGAAATAGAAGTCTCGAAGGCGATGGGTTTACTGAAACGCAGCACTGAAAATCCACAAGAACCGTCACAGAATCACCTTCCTTTCCACCTAGGCTAAATTTAAAGCCTCATCATCCTACAGACACCGACTAATACCGTGGACGGAAGCCTCCCCCGGATCAAGTCGCACTGTCGAAAATCAAGTCATACGTGCATCATCGTCGTACACAGCCTAGAATGATGATCAATGCTCTATCTTGATTCTATCGACTTTGCGAATACTGACAGTGAAGTGATTTGGCAGCTGCTCCAGTGCTGCAGAGTTCGGTGATACACATTTATAAACTTCATTTAACAGCTGTACGAGGGAGATGATACTGTATACCATATAATTCACAATGAAAGCCGAATGAAGCGTTTAAGGTGGACATAAGACTAAAACCAAAGGTAGTGATTTGGGAATATTTAGGAAAATCTGGATTTCGGATAGATCTAATGTCTTAAATTGAACAAGCTCGAAGATATGGAAACGCAGACCAACAAAATTTGACAAAAGAGGCGCAAAAGACACGACTTCAAGTGGACATGGAACCAACAGAGGTGTTGAGGATATCCGACAAAGAACAGCCACCATCAATAGGAGAATTCTAAAGGAAGCTATCTTTTTCACTTACCTTGGTATCGTTATTCGTCTCATTTATAGGCGGCGGAACCATTAAGAGTGACACAGCCAGTCAGGATGAGACTGGATATGTATGGTTCCCCTTGATAACTGTGAAATCACCGTGGAGATCCACAGCATGCAGGGCTACGGAGGAGATCCGAATTTTCAACATAAAAGTCCAGTCAGTCTCCTATATGCTTCATGGACATGGTAAACGTGTTACTACAGGCATTCCCTACAGATAACAGAGAAGATTTGTAGCTCAGGTGGAAACACCAAAAGTTCCAGGGAATTCCTAGGAGCCTGGTACTCAAACGAAAATGCAATTAACAAACACGTTAATATAGACGAAATATACCAACTAATACAAAGTAAATCAGGTGACCAGAAAGTTTAAAATACAAGTCAATAGAAAATGGTCAATACACATGTAAAGATGGTTACCGGGAGACGCAATTATATCACTCATGAAGAAATTTAAATCATTTCACTTTATGCTAAATATTGCTCTGAAGATGTTGTCCAGAAGGACGACGAAAGCTCCGCAACTAAACCAACCACCTCAGAGAACACTATAAATTGCAAATTCCCTACAGGTCACTGCAGACCTTCATCAGCTAACAGAAGTAATGAAGATCAGATGGCCGGTCGACTGGCGAGAAAGGATTAGTAATACAGAACTGTATCAGTGGGCAAACTAGTCAAGGACCTATTACACAACAAATATGCGGAATGAAATGAAGATAGATTGAACATACGCTGAGAAGATTGTTGAAGCCATCAATTCAGATAGGTCATCGATTGGAACTTGAATAGTAATCGACGAGTTATTCGTGGTTCCAAGAGTGTAATTGATAAAATCGTCTGAAAGAAATGAAAGCTTGTGGGCAGCCGTTGAACAAGCTGAAAATGATTTCAAAACATGAGTGGAATGGAGATGTGCTACTGGGTCATTATGTTCCACTCCGGACTCGATGAATGGATAATGCTAATATAACTAGTCAAAATTTTTCTTAGAATACTGAATTCGAATCTCACTGTCTTCAGGTTTACTTACTTTCTCACTTCAATCCAATGGAAAAATCTCCGTAGTTCATTATTACTGTAAAAACAGAAGACAAGACATGGAAGCCAAGGTATATTTCCCACTCATCGGTGGCGTCGGTGGCACAGTGGTTAGGACTCTCGCCGATCATGCACATGGTCCGGGGTTCGAGCCCACGCCGACTCACACTTGATATGTATGGTCGGCCTGCGAATTTTCAGCCTACCGATATCGTAGGCTGAAAATTCCATACTTGTACCAAAAATACGGTGTGGAACCAAGCTGTAATCAAAAATAAAACAAAAATAAAAAAATAAAAAAAGATAAATATATATATAGAGAGAGAGAGAGCTTATATTCTTTAACCAATCACCGAGCGTGTGATTTCGGCTTACATCAAACGACATGAAACAGAATGTTCAAATATACATAGTGTTCTTTTGTTAATGCAGTATGTGACCGTGAGAAATGTATTCTGTCTCTAACATCAAGTAAAATGTTAAAATAGATATATGTTAATGCCGAATTGAACTGTGGGAATATTTGAGAATAACATTCCGCTGGCATTTATTGTCTGTATTACACTACCACACTCGTCTCCCCGTCAAAACCTTTCAACTGAAGTCGGTTGAATCTTCTTAGTGCTATCGGTTTTTTTAGCTTGTCTTATTATATGCAGTTCTGGAGCTCACTGACGCTCACCCGCTCCTCTTTGTTTGCATTTCTGATAGTATATGCTTGACCCCGTCTCACAGTGACTATGTAGGGTCCTTCCCACACCGGGAGTAGTTTGCATGACCCTGGCTCGTGTTCGCAGGTAATTCGTATCACACTATCATATGCCATGGTCGTCCGACCTCTCAGCAGCGTTTCAATTAACAGCCTCATCGCTGCTGGATCTTGAACGCCACTCAACTACACAACAGCCTCGAAGTCCTACCCGAAGATCTATATGTCACTATCAAAAATTGGAGGGCATAAGCTTTCGCTTTGTCGGTAGGCAGCGACACCAAAAGTAACAACAGAAGACGAGACACAGAAGCCAAGGCATATTTTCCATTGATCAAACCGCTGTTTATATATCTACAGTTTATATTCGTTAACCACTCACTGAGCGTGCGGTTAAAACAGTGAAGAAAATTAGCGTCTCACATAATGATTCAATGTCATTTTGCCTAAGGTGCTTGGTTTAACAGTAAGGCAGCATCCGTAGGAGTACGAAAGGTGACGTCTGGTGATTAAAACAATGGGGTCTCATGGATTAATTGTGTTACACGAGGAAGACAGTGTTTATCTTAAAATTTCAATACGGAATATTTCATTTCTATTCATTTCCACTATATACCACCAATACCTTATTTATGATTTATATAAATATGAATTTTACCGTTGTTATTTCTAAATTTTCTTCAGGTGGCAGCTCACTTTGACGGGGACATTCGATATAAATTCATCAATCAATGGTGCAAACAACACTATATGGGTTTAGTCACTATTCAATTCCTATACAATAATAAAAAGCTATGAAACCTAACATTCCAACAATTGCAAATAGTGTTAGTGTGAAACTATGTTAGTTCAATACATCCTTATCTTTAGTGTATCAAAATATTTCTGCAGTGCAGTCCACATAATAAAACAACTGTATGAATTGTTTTAAGCGCATAAAAAAGATATATAATTCTTTTCTCTCTCTCTCTCTCCCTTTTTTTTCTTGCACTTAATAGACTGTGAAATTTCACTACTCACACTTCATTATTTCGTTGGCACTCGTCAAAAAAGAATAAAAAAACACCAATCAGATTGCTGACCAACAAAATGATGCAGATGAAATTGATGACCATATTCTCATTAATTAGGTGAATACTTCAACTTTGTCTGTCTGTCTGTCTTCTATTGTATGCTTAACAAAAAAGAGAGAAGAGAGAAACTTTAGCTTTCTTTATTTCTGTGTATACAGTGTAAGTGATTATTAATCACACTTCTACAATGTACTATGTCTTGTGATTTTTCAAAACACATCGAAATGATAAATAACTGCGAGCCAACTTTCGAGGAGGAAGAATAATTGTAGATAACATAGATATTGTACTTAACTTCTTACAATGTCTGTATCGATCAGTTCTCTTCACATTTGGTGTATTTTCTCGTTTTCTAACAATCGCACACACACACACACTCTCTCTCTCTCTCTCTTTCATTCCAACATAGTACACTTAGTTTGGTTTCAGTAATGGTAAACTAGTAATGATAACTAACCGTATTAGTTAGTGTATTGTTTGATTGTAATAAAAACTCTTAAAAGGAATTCACTCTAAAAGTTAATAGCTGAATCAATTTTGTAAATCAAAAATATTCACACACACACACGAATATCTGCTTCGTATTTTATGTTCGTTCCTCTTTTTCTCTCTTTCTTCCTTTTTATTTTTTATTTCCTAAAAATGAAAAACAGTTAAAGTCTTTCCACAAAAAAAAAATAATAAATAAAGAACAAAAAGCCAAAATTGTTATCAGGGAACAGTTAGAGAGAAAATACACACGTCATCCTTTTGTTATTTTTTGTTTTCCTCCATCTTTCTTTCTTTCTTTACTTGGTCACTTTCCTTTTCTACTTCTTTATTATTATTATTTCTTCTTTTTGATGCTAGTCATCAAGTTGTTCATTAATACTTGTTCAATTTTGAATTCAACAAACAATTGGAAATTTCAAGTCTAGAGTATACTGCTCACTCATATATGTATATGTATATTAGTGTGTGCAGTGAAGTATATATATATATATATTCCATCCACTAATCATTGGAAATGCAGATTTATTTCATTTCTGAAAATGATGATGCATAGCATTTAGTGTTGTTTTGATTAAAAAGAATAAAGTAGAAATTATAAATCTTCTTCTTCTACTTCTGCTTTCCTTTTCTTGTTTATTTTTTTTGTCTTTGTCTTTAGCTTTTGGTAAACTGAAGTTTGCACTTTTCACGTGTACTTGCTTATCTAGAAAGTAAATCTATCTGTACAGCTGGTTAATCTTCAAAACAGAGGAAAAAACACACAGACACAATAGATATTTCACCTAGTATCTCTCAAAACAACTTATTTGCATTTGTCTGAGTAAAAATAACACACAAATAAAATACCAGCATTTAGTGTCTTTTAGATAGTGGAGAAACACATTGCATAGAGAATTCTTTTTGGTTTCTTCAGTCGCAAAATGCTAATACTAGTTAGTCGAGTGTATCATCATTTGGAAGCACAGATTGAATAGTAGATCAGTACAGAAATTATTTTACTCGCATATTTAGTTTTGAAAACAGTTCTTCTTGCATAGCCTAACTCTTCAATTAGTGATGCTGACGATGATTACAGAAACCAGTAAACATATAATGCTAAAACATGCAGTGCGAAATTTTCAGTGTCAATATAACAAATCATTTTCAACATTCTGTACATAAATAGGGTAGAGCCATGAAAGAAAACAACAGATACAAAGTAAAAGATATAAAACGTTGTGTAAACATTGGGTTATGTGTGCGACAGCAAAAAAAAATATCCTGTAACGAATGATGCCATGGAATTCCCAGCATTCTGTAGCTTCTGTATTCTGCTCAAAGTAAACACCATGATTAAAGCCAAAATGGATATCAAAAGGGTTGAATAAAAGGGAAATCAGCTCTTGCTTTAATCTAATCTAATTCGAAATATTTTTTAAAAACATTACAGAAATTCTGGTGATAATAGAGGTATCAGGTAGTTAATTATGAAGCAGGTAAAGAACCAAATCCCCTTCGATACGATCTAGGAGTGTGAACGAAGAATATTCTTTACAGTAAATTCTATTCAGGCTCTTATAATCTTAAAATATGGCATTTATCGTTACAGTAATATTCATTTGTGCGGCAGATACACTTGTATGCAGAATAACAGATTAGTTGGTAGAAGTTAAAATTCATAGGCTGTTGGACTGGGTCCCAGTGGTATACTAGCTTGCCTTGTAACCGGAAGGTAATGGGTTTGAAATTCAATACTGCTGATGAGTCCCAAACTAGGACGAAACAACTATACATTACTGTCTAGTTTTCAATGGTCCTCTGACTGATATCAATCTGTGATCAAACTAGAAAGATTAGTTATAGTAGAGTGACAGAATAAAAAGTATTTATGTGGTAAACTTGTTGGGCTGGATTCAACTGCAAAATATTGTGAAGTGTGAGATGACGGTGTTTATTAATCATAATATAATTTGGTGAGTGGTGACTAGGGATTGAATCAAGAATGCGCATTTCATCGCACTTTGGACTCTTCACCTGGGTGTACGTGCATTCCCTAGTGAGTGGTGATGTTTAAACTGATACTCCATCCCAATATCTATTGTTTTAAATGCCAAAGCGTCTGCACTTACATGCGGGTACATACAGCTGATGAATGTCACATACGAAGAAATGTGCATACTGGACTCCACTACTTGTCACCCTTGACCTAATTACTTTAAATTAACCATCAGGCATCGTTGAAGATTCCGTACTAGGAGCCGACGTGTCAAATGAAGCCGAACACTTCGGTCCAATCAATCAATGGTAAAATCAGAATTGAGTTAAAAGCAAAATGACCGGTTATATATTAGTTTCATTCAGTATGGGGAATGAAAATTGACAACTCAGCTCGAGGTGTGAGAGGTGTTTGGTGAGCCGCTAGTACAAAGTGGTATGCATTAAAGGGGAGATAATTAAGACTGTTGTGAATAGTTCATCGTGAAATAAGCAAAATGTGTAGTGGAACAGACAGAGTGATACTGGGAGAACAGAAAATATTAATAATAAGTCAGAACAGTATAAGTGGGAAATTCGACAGCGTTGAAAAAAATGCTAGGATGAAGGGCACAAATTATAAAACATTATGGCCGAAACTGTTAGAAATAAGATAAAACGAAACAAAAAAATAATATACATAGAAACAGAAGGAAAAGAGATAAGAGGAAAAGGCACTGTTGGTGGGGAAGAAGTTTTAATCCAAATTCAGGCAGGACAGCAATGGAGCCTGAAAATGTTTTTTGTTAATAAAAAATTCCAGTGAGTCTTATTGCAACAGCTTCAGACGAGGGTGATTTTCTTCTTATGAACTGATAAATTTTATCTATGTCAACGGTCCTGTTAATTGCCAATTCACTGTGAAGCATCCATCTGAGCCAAAAGTCATCTCCAATATATCTAGATAAGATTTGCGCTGTTTTGACGGTGTCATTCATGTTGTTTTGAATTAATGTTCAACAAGGAGATCTGACTCCATGAATCCCATTTTCATCTGATTCCGTGGCTAATTTTTTTTATATATATTTTAGTCTTTCTAAGTTAACATTTATTTTCAAAAAGCCTTATGCTGATTAAAAACTTTCTCTTAAGTTTTAAGTTTTTAATAACTAAAATGTATAGTTCTGTGACTTCAGGCAATGACGGTTTATTACATTTCTTAAACTTAAAAGACAAAAACGAAGGTGCCTTTCTGGTAGCTTTCAGCTATATAATGGAGTTTCCGAAGAAAAACCACTTTGTAATTGTGAACATATAGAAAGTATTTCAAAACGAACTGACTTACAGTGAAGCCAACTTTGTTAATTTTCAGTGTGCTGGGATTTTGAAAACTCCTCGGTTTTGAAAATAACGCTGACACTTTTCAACCCTTAGAGTTATTCCTTTGCAAACAGAAAGTTACGGCTTAACAAGCCTGTAATACAATCACCGATGAAAGGAGATCCCATCATACAATTCACAGCTTATATGCCCCTATAAGCTGTCAGGTGCATCTTCCAACTTCAGCAATTCATATAAGCTACTCAATATTTAAGTTGGAGTGCGAGCTGCTGAGGAATAAATTATATTGAATATAATCCACGTTATATCCAAAAGTTCACTTACAATTACGAAGGACTGAATTAAAAGTAGAACCAATGGAGTGTTTTAATACTGTCAGGAATATGGTGTTCCCAGTGAATGAATAATTCACGAGCTCGCTTTTTAACATGAACTTCCTCGGTTCGAACCGCGATGTGTGCGCACTTATGAAGAGTTCCGAACTGGGACAAAAAGCTGTCCAGTGACCCCTGGTAAAGAAATGCCGCCCTATCTACTAGCCAGTCCTAAGCCCGGGACAAGAGGCAAGGTTCCTCGTAGGGCTAGCGACGCTACCTCAGGAAATCAATCCAATCTCTGCAGAAACTTCAGTGCACAATGAAAATATAAAAAACAAACTTATTCTTTATTAGATAAGTTTATCCGATAACACACAGTAATGCAGTATTAATAATTGAATGGTGTTTCCAGCAGAATTGATTAATATGATTACGCGCATTAAAATTCTCCTCCGAACGTCATCCAGTTATTGATACTGCATTACTGTGTCTTATTCAAATAAACTTATCGAATATGGAATTACATTCTACCCTAGTACCCAAGTGCTATGCTGACATTATCAGACTAATTCTTCTCTGGAATTAGAGAGAAAAAGTGGCGCAGGTGTCGACAGCCTTTAAG